GGGCGGGGCCATCCTGGCCTGGCTGTGTGTGGGGAGGGCGGGGCCATCCTGGCCTGGCTGTGTGTGGGGAGGGCGGGGCCATCCCTAACTGGCCGTGTGTGGGGAGGGCGGGGCCAGGACTGAGATCCGCCATCTGGTGGTCTCATGGGTCTGTTCTATGCAGGTGGCTGCTGACCTTGTGAGACGGTTACACCTTGAAGCCCACGCGGACAAACGTGTGGCCACCTACAGTGGGGGCACCAAGAGGAAGCTCTCCACAGCCCTGGCGCTGGTGGGCAAACCTGACATCCTTTTGTTGGTGAGTAGTGGAAGTATTTTTTAGACGCCCGGACCTTGAGATGAGCTCCGTGTGATGCGCGGGCCTGGGGAGCTTCTTTTCTCCACCAGAGTTCTTCCAGGAAAGAACTCCAGAACTTAGGACACGCACTCTACAAACTATTAAGCTTCTGCCCTACGTCAGTATTTACCAAACAGAATATAAAATATTGTTGGAATTGTGTACAAACTAGACATTCATCCATGTTTGTCAAATTAAAAAGTCAATTAAATTTTAATAGTAAAATTACATTACAAAGACAACTAGAATTCACCTCTAACCTGAAAACCAATGGATTTTTTCTTCTAACGTATCCCTTTCCAGTCTTGTTCTACCTGCAGAACTGTGTTTATACAGTAGCAATAGTGATACAAGCCAGTGATAAACCAAGAGGATGGGTGTCCGGGGTCCTGATGGCTTGGGTGCCCCCCATACAGTCCTGGTCCCCAGCTGTGGCACTACTGGGAGGTGCTGGAGCTCTGAAGATGTACTTCTTAGTGTAACGTGTCTGGATTGTGAACGTCTGTTGTCAGAGGGGCCTATAAAGTGCGGACCACTTCCTCTTCCTGTTTGTCCCTTCTGGGCCACGAGGCGGGCGATTTCCCCCACTCCTTGCCGTAGCCGTGATGAGTGGGTCACCTCAGCAGTCCGCAGAGCCAAGCAGTCATGGACCGGAAGCTCTCAACCTGGAGCCAGAACGAATGCTTTCTTCTTGTAAGCTGATTCATTCCGTCATTTCTTACAGCAGTGTAAGTCCAGCTGCCGTTTGCATGTGAAGCGGGAGGGAAGAGGGTTCTGGCAACAGAGTGGAGGATGAGCGGGCAGCAGTGGAGGAGGCTGCAGCCTATAATCCACCTGCAAATGCGGTCAGGTCAGGTAAATGGGATGGAAACAGTGACTGGAATGAGGACCCTCAGGAAACAGCTGGCTGCCTCACATTTCAGAAATGGACCTAACTGTGCATACTGCGCTGAGGCGAGGAGTCGCCTGGATTCCAGTAAAGACTCTGCATCTGGAAGTCACTCTGCCAGGCACCCGGGGGAGGGGTGTCCAAAAGCACAGGGAGCAAGAAGAATCACCTGCTGTTCTCCTTCATGGGATTTCTGAAGATCCGAGATAGAAAAAATGGCTCCATTGTTTCCAGGTTGTGTATTGGAAATACACCCGGAGGGATATGCCTCTCTCTCACTTGTGCAAGGTTTGCTATTGCGAGGTCCCAAGTACAGGACCATGCAGGAGTCTGATCACACAGACCAACCTTTGCGCTGTTCTGTACTTTGCACGCAGTATCACCCTCCCAGGCCAGGCAGGCTGTGCTGGGCAGCTGCTGAGATGCAGGGCTTGCTGCCTGCTGCACAGTGTCCCTGTCCTTGGGCTGGCATGGTTGATGGGAGCCTCCTGGTCTGGCACCGCCCCATCTCCCTGCAGACCCTGTGCTTGTCTTCGGTCACATATGCTTGCCTTCTCCCCATGGATTGCGGGACTCTGGTGTAGCAGTCATTGGGGACTCGGAGTCTGAGTGGTGGGGTTCGGGTTCTGCAGCCCAGGACCTCACATCCTCTGCACCTTTCTCCTTTCTGTCGAAACATGGTCCTGCTCTTCGTGTCTGTCTCACACAACCACTGCAAACAGTAAATGGAAGAAAAGTCCCGATTCCACTTGTGACTTGGGCCCTCGTGGGTAGTAACTGCAGCAGAAGCATTTGCCGACCCCAGAGATGCTGACCGTCCAGAGCACCAGGAGGAAGTGAGGCCTTCTGCAGGGAGGTGGGAAGCAGCTCTTAGAACTCGCGCCACAGGGAGGCTCAGGGAGACTTAAAACTGCATGCATGTGCAGACCTGCTCCTGAGCAGGGCACCATCACACCTTCCTTTACTGATTTCTGAGCAGCACATGCCCACCGCATGGTTTGCAGAAGGGACCCAGTATCCACGTTCCTGCTCCCTGCCTCTCCCCACTCCACTTCCATTCTGTTCTTACCTTTGGGGATGAGCCGATGACCTGAAGCTTTTAAGAAAAATGTGCTTAGTGCACATTGGCTGCAGAAAGCTCAGAGATGTGTCACACAGTTGGGCGAGCTCCTCTCTGAAGGGCTGCCAATAACAAGTGCTTTGGAGTTTATTGAAGGAGAGAACTTTGGGTTCCAGGAAATTTCAGTTTATTTGACATCACTAAATAAAGGACACCCTTTTCCGCTGTGGTTCATCTTTTAGTGGTGCCATTCCAGGCCTGAGGCTTGGTCTTGAAAACATCAAGGTTGGGTCACCTGACCACACCTCCATGAGGAGCTGAGCTTAAGTGAAAGCCTTCCTCCTTAGGTTTACTGAGACATGGCTGACAAGTAAAAATTGCATGCATTCAATATATACAATGTAATGTTCTAATCAACATATTTACTCTAAATTGATTATCATAATCAGGCTAATTAACATACCCTTCACTGCCCTTCGTGGCCATTTCTTTCTTCCAGTATGTGGTCAGAACATTTGAAACCTATTTTCTCAGAAAATTTTAAACACATGACACTGAGTTATTAACTGTTATAGTCAGGGTGTGTAAGGGAATAGAGTGAATATAGGACATATAATTTATAGGATTTTAAAAATAATATGCATGCAAAAAAATGAAATGCAGAGAGTGTAATAGATCTGTCCAAACAGAAGAGACACAAAGAATCCTGCTGAGGGTCTATAGCCCATGGAATTGTCCTCAAGGAGACCAACTGGAGGCCCAGAGCCCATGGAGGTGACCTCGAGGAGACCAGCCGGAGCACAGAGCCCATGGAGGTGACCTCAAGGAGACCAGCCGGAGCACAGAGCCCATGGAGGTGACCTCAAGGAGACCAGCCGGAGCACAGAGCCCATGGAGGTGACCTCAAGGAGGCCAGCTGGAGCACAGAGCCCATGGAGGTGACCTCAAGGAGGCCAGCCAGAGGCCTAGAGCCCATGGAGGTGACCTCAAGGAGGCCAGCCAGAGGCCTAGAGCCCAGGACAGTCCCATGCAAGTCTCTGTCAAGGATTTGTGCTGAGAAGGCCCAAAGGTCAGTGGAGGAAGCTAGAAAGTCTGTGCCAGTGGGGTGAAGGTCCTGTGCCCGCAGACTGAGGGATGTGTACCAGAGCCAGGAAGCAACGTTCAAGGTGAGCACTAAGCTGTCCTGAAGAGAACCACAACCATCCTCAGTGATGGCGAGGTTGACAGTGAGCTTCTCCGATGATGAGCACACCCAAGCTCCTATCAGGAAACCCGGCATGACAAGGACAATCCACAGGGCACCATCTTCCCCTCCACTTCTCCTTTCATGCTGCTGGCAACAACCCTCAGGTGAGCCCCACGCCCAGCACCATGCTGACTTCCTGCTGAGCGTCATGAGCTGCCCACTAGCCCACCCACCACGTCCTTGTCAGTCCATTTGCACTTCCACAGCAGGGGCCACAGGCAAGGTGGTTTGTCATGCACAGACATGTGGCTGTCAGGGTTCTGGAAGTCAGACGTCTGTGGTCCAGGTGCCACTGGGCTGAGGCACTAGGGGAAGACCTGTGCCCACATCTCTCCAAGAAGGCACCCTGATGAAGGCCGTGTTGTCATGGGGCGGGAGTTAGAGGGCAATATGGAGCAAATCTCCGTCCCTACCTTCATAGGGCACCAGATACCACTTGTGACGGGGGAGGCTCCATGTCGCAGTCACCTCCCCAGGCCACTCCTGATACTGTTATACTGGGGAGTAGGGGCCAGTGTGGATCTAGAAGGGACAAAAAAAAAAAAATCAAGTCATAGGAAGCCCTGTGCTAGATATTAAACCTCCAGAATGTATTTATCCTGCGTAACTCGTACCCTTTGGCCCACATCTCTTGCTACTGTGAGGCTCAGCCTGTGGTGCACAGCCATCTGCGCGCTCTCTCTCTGTAAGCTGGGCATGTTAGAGTTCCTGTGTGAGATCAAACATAGCTGTGTTCCCAGGTTTGGGTTGTTTCACCTTAATGTAAAGTTCTTCATGTTCACAAGGAGAGGTTTCTCTGCCACCCTCACAAAGGGGCTCGGAGACCCCGGGCCCTTGGTGCCCACCTCTCCCTCTTCCCAGTGTGCCCATCACTGCACAGTCTAGGGTGGGCAGGAGTGGCATCCAGAGGAGGCAAAAGGAGCCAAGCAAGCCCTCGGGACTCACCAGTCCCCTTGCTCCGCTAAGCACTAGGGGGCGCCTAGGAGGGCCAGAGCCGGGTTTCTCTTTCAGGCCTGCTGGGCTGCACAGGAACAGCATGTACTCCGTATGGTTCACCAAATCTCCACCTCCGTGTCTCCCTCCTGCAGGACGAGCCCAGCTCCGGAATGGATCCCCGCTCCAAGCGCTACCTGTGGCAGACGATCCTGCAGGAGGTCAGGGGGGGCTGCGCCGCGGTGCTCACCTCGCACAGGTGAGCTGCATGCCTTGCTGCCTGGACCTGGGCCGAGTCGCAGCCAGTGGCATGGGCGGGTCCAGGGCCAGCCACCATGCTGCTCAGGGGCTCCTTTTCCTGTATGCACAAGGGGTGACCAAAATACACATGCCATGTGCTTGAATGTAAAAGAGTTTGTTACACTAAATGGCACATTGCTGAGAACCTCTTAAAACCCCGCACCTCCCTTCACACCCTCTCATCACCCCATTCTGGCCACTTCCGGCTGCATCTGAGGAGTCCTCCTTCGTGAGTGTGCTTACAAGTTGTGAGAAAAAACACGGTGAGGGCTGCTGTTGAGTGCCGCCCAGAGCACAGGCAGGCTCATGGACGCTGCTGCGTCCTCATGCACTGCATTCTCTGGGTCTGGAGTCAATCACCTGCAGGCTCTTCTCCAGTTCAAAAGGACCATGAAGGGAATCGTTTCCAGCCCATGCAGGCCATCAGGGCAGGCAGGACAGCACAGCTACAGACCTTCACGAAAGGGATTCCAGAGCTGCTTCAGAAGTCGGCAGGGCTGATGGGATGAGTGTGTTGGAAGCCATGGGGAGGGCTGAGGGAGTTCACGGCAGTGAGACTTTCACTGTTTGCAATTTGAATGCCCACTGTACGTTTCCACCACATGTGTAGGGCGCAGCTCTGCAGCCTCAGATGTGGAGAGGAAAGCTGAGATTGTCGCAGACCATCTCACCAGCAGGGGGCAGAGCCTGTGCCCAGAGACCACATCCTCGGGCCTGGTGTCTCCCAGGGCCTCAGCTTCTCCCACCAAGGCTGCCCGTGGGGTGGGAGGAGTTTCAGAGGAGCCCTAATGGGACCTGTCTGGCCTTGTGCGTTCCTCCATGCCATTAATCGTGTAGTTGGAATTCTCAACCAGGGCTTATTTTTAGCTCTGTGACAGAGTTCCAGACTTCCCAGTGATGTAGATTTCAGAGAGTCAGAATCCAGGCAGCAAGGCTGGGCTGGGCTGCTGAGAATCCCAAGGGTGTGGAGATCGGCTTTGAACTTCTGATGTGGCTCCTCACCCTGCTCAAATAAGTTATGTGGTAAGAGAAGTTTCAAGCAATGTCGAGGATCTGGTGCTGTGTCACATGTTCCTCTACTCAAAACCCTGAGCCAGGAGTGGTGGACCGTGTATGTAGTCCCAGCACTCTGGGAGGCTGAGACGGGAGGATTGCAAGCTCAAACCCACCCAGGGTAACTTAGCAACTTACCAAGACCTGCCCTCCAAATGAAAATAAAGGTAAACAGGGCTGGAGCTGTAGTTCAGTATATGAAGGCCCTAGGTTTAATCCCTGATACTCCACACACACACGTGCGCGCGCACGCGTACACACACACGCACACACGTGTGCACATCCCCCCCAATAAAAACAAACCTAGGAGAATGTTGATTAGCATTTTACAGATATTTCATATTAAATGAAATATATAATGGCCCATGATGGCCTGCTCTTGGGCTCTGGTGACATCTTTTCTCCCCACGATGTTGTACAAGGTTGCTCGTACGATAGCACCGATCAGCAGTGTGCTCCTTTTCCGTGGTGAGCAGGACTCCGCTGTAGCCCCCCCCTCCTCTGATCAGCTCATGAATATTCATACAGTCTTCAGTGTGGGCGACTATGAATAATATTGCAGATGTTTTACATTTTACGTGTTCTATAACACAGATAACAATGAACAGTTTCTTTTTCTTTCTGTATTTTAGGGAAGTGTCTACAGGGTGTTCAGGGTCTCGCCACTAGATCAGACTCCTAGTGATCCGCCTGTTTACAGCCTCCCAAGAGCTGGGATTACAGGCTCGTGTCACCACACCCAGTCTCAATTGCTGCCTCAGTACACCGGGGGGGGGGGGGGGGGCACGGCAGGCCCAGGGACCGAACTCCTGGCCCCTGCATCTGCTTGCAGGCACTTTAAGCCCTTGATCAGTTTCTATAATATTAAATCTTAAAGAAGCCAAGGGAAGGTAGGAGGAAGCTGTTACCTGTAGCCTTGTGTAGAGAGGCCGACAACCTAGGTGCTCCGGAGCTCATTGGTTTATGGGAAAAGTTGTGCAGTCATTTGTGCAAGTGTTGTTCAGCTCTTCCTGTCGCTTCTCTTCCTTTCGATGATTTGTCACACGATTATTGGGCCTCTGAGCAGACCCCCGGTTGAGCCTCTCTGCTCTTCCCTGAGGCTGGCTAATGTTCGTGGCCTCTCCCAGCACGTTCTCTACGACCTCCTTCTGCCACCTTACACCTGGAGCTGATCGCGTTAGTAAAGTTTGCATTTTGTTTGTTGCACTTTTCAATGACCAATTGTACATTTGCTCGTTTTCTATCCCTTTCACCTCCGGCTTTAGAATTTCCTTTGGTTGAAGGTTGTTGTCACTGCTCCCTTAGTGATTGTCATGCAGTTTCCTTTGATTCTGGGGTATATTGATGAGGTGCGTTGAATTTTTTTCCTGCTAAATCTCTAGTGTTTGGGAATTCTTAGGCACAGTTCCTGTTGATGCTTTTCTCTGCGAATTATGGGCTGCTTTCCTGTGTCTCTGCATTTCTTCCCCACCATTTTTTTTTAATGGAAAACTGGACATTTTAGCTAACCAGTGTCTCTGGTATCTGAATTCCTTTCCCCAGTGTTGCTGTTCTTGCTAGGCTTTTCTTTGGCTTTTGGTTCATTTCCAAATACTTCTGTCAATTTCATGTTTGAGGTTTTTTTCCTGGGAAAACCTTTCTCCTGTGGTGAGTAGCCCCGAGGTCTCAGGGCTAGTGTTTTTAACATTGTTTCCACAGTTTAGGGCTGCTGGCAGCAGTCCGCTTTGCTGCTGTATAGCTGCCTGCACCCCGTGAGCAGGCAGAGGTTGTGGTAGCCTGCCCTGGCCAACAGGACCCCTGCCAACGGACCTCTGTGCTGACAGCAGAGAAAATCGTGTGTGCAGGGCCTTTCGAAGCCAGCACAGTTATGCTGGTATGCACAGTTACCCTTGTCTTTCCCAGGTGTGTGTCTATAACGTCTGCCTTGACAAGCAGTATGTGACATCACTGTACAGGCACGTGTGGCCTTAGCTGGTGTGTGCATGCCACAGATCCACAGCTTCAGCCCGTCAGAGGTCAGCATCGTAGGTACTGGGCAGTGTTGGCTGTCCTGCTCCCCAGAGCTGTCGCTGGGCAGGGCGTTGCCCGGAGCTGCAGACTGAGGCCCTGCCTCGCCTGTGACAGGAGCTAGTGCTCCTCAGGGCCTACCCCGTGTAGCCTAGGCTGCTGTGTTGGCGACACTGGGCAGGGAAGACAGTAGCTTGTGCCCTGTGTGCCCCAGTCACCCTGTTCATCCCAAGTTCAGCAGCTTTTCACATTGCTGTGTGGCTGGGGGCAGTTTCTGGGGTTTTTCAGGGCTGCTTTGATATTTTGTCCCCATTGTATCGTTACTCTTCAGGGAAAGGATCTGCTGGTTTCTTCACTTGGACCTCACTGGAAGTACTATCTCTGATATTTTGCTTTTGTTCCGTTTCTTTTTGGAAGCTATTTCTTCTACACAGAAGTAACTAAATCTGGCAAAGCTTGTGCTTTACGGTGATGTGGATCCCTGCCTGCTGAAAGTGTCCGTTTTTCCGTGCCAGTTCTGGACACTTTCCACCTCCCTGCGCTTGTGGCATTGGCGTCAGTTTCCTGGCGTGAAGACACCCGTCTTGGTGTCCAACGCAGGATCTGTGGTTGGGAAGTGGTCCCACTGTAAAGCTTTTTATTTCTCAAGTAACATGTAATTATTGTCAGCTGTTCTCAGGAAGACCCTATGTAGCTGAAGTTTCTCTTTATGTCCTCCTATTCATTTGATTTCACATAAATGACATACATATGAATATATACACGTTTATTTCCACAAATCTGTCCCTATTCAAGCAATACAAGGGCCCAAATTACTCACTGTAAGTGAACAATTGGGAAGCCCTTGAATGGTTCTGTGATTCTAAAATGGTTCTTTAGTGAGAAGAGACTTCTGAGTTGGGCTACTTCCCTGTAACTTTGAGTTCATCTCGTACTGCCCAAGAGCATCTTGGGAAAGCGTGGGTTTGGAGCCTGTGGCAGGGATCTGGTGCTCACGTCACGTGGTAAAATGACTGGATGTTGGTTCAACCATGATGACCACATGGCCTTTTCCTTCCAAATCAGTCACCGATTCATGAATTCCAACAGCAGGCCCCCAGTCGCTGCCTTCCCTAACCTTACTTCTGTGCTAATTGATCTATCCATGGAGGAAATTTGGTGTTTATTTATTTATTTTTTGACCAGTGATTTGTTTACTTAAACAGCCAGCGATTGCTTTCGTGGATGACAGTGCCTTGCTTTGTTCTCCCTTCTCCCTACAGATATTTATAGCTTCATCTCTGCAGTCGGGGCTGGGATTTTATGATGTCTGTATGTTCCCACCATAGCTGTTGCACAGTTAATTACAGCTCAGTTGGAATCGCTAAGTCATTCATGGCTGGGCCTTAATTCATGCTGATTAGTATTTTGTCCACCGCTTGTCAAACTTACACACGGAGTTTGTATTTTAGTGGAACGATACACAAGTGACTTCCTAGTCTATCCACAATACAGCTATAAAAATGCTAAAACTGTCTTCAACTGAAATTAAAGCAATGTAGCAAGTATATATTTGCCCAGAAACATCGGAAGCATCTTCGGAATGTTGATAGCATATGTTCCTTCATCTTCATGTTAAACTCCAGCGAAGAAAGCTCAGATAAGAGCGTCTCAGGCAAGACGGCTGAGTCTTGCTTAACCCTTGCTGCTGCTGCGGCACTGTGCTCCTCCGGCCAGCTGAGGATGAAGATCCCTTCTTCCCTGTTGCTTCCAAGTCACCTCCATCATCACAGGGAGGGCTGCCTCAGGCTCTGCTGTGTCTGCATCGCAGCTCCAGGGCAGCGACACCGTGCGGCCTCCTTCTCTGGCAATGGGGCAGGGCCATGCATTCTGTTGACCCCACTCCGCGCAGGATGCTTGTAGCCCCGAGAGAGGCTCAGAAGTAAAAGCCTGCCTCGAGGCCCATCACCCCACCTCCCGTACTGCTTTGTGACTGTGAGCCAACAACAAGCAGAATGCATGCTTCCTGTGGAGCATTCGGGTAAAGCAAAGCGGTGAGCAAGAGGAAAGCCCACCAAGATGTTCACTTTTAACATATGGATACTGATGTGTCTCTTCCTAGAAAATTGTCCCACATTCAGGTGCGGCTTTCCTAATGGACGGTATCATTTTCTGCCACCATAGAGGAGCTTAGCTCCGTGCAATGGGCGATGTTAGAGAACTCTGAACACTCACACAGGGAAGGTGTTCTTGTGCCTGTAAGTCTTACACAACCCTACTGTGCATTATCTACCATGCCCATATTTGTATTATTACCAATGAGTTTTATACACTCATGTTTTTTGTCTTCTGGGCAAGTCCCTAGGTGAGGAACTAAAGCCGAACTGATTTTCCAAAAGTTATACCAATTTTACTCCAGGGATGGCAAGGCTTTGAGAGACCTTCACTGCCCCACCTGCAACTCTGAGCCCCTTATTGGTCACAGAGTACCACCCCTGCCACTAGACCTGAACACCGAGGCCTCACTTTGGAAGAGACAACTCATGCCTGAGTGTCTTTGGCCTTAAAAGAAACACACACCAGCAGAGTGTCCCGTGGTGCAGACAGCTTTTCATGGAAAAGGGAAGGCTTGCACTCGGCGTGCCTTTGTCCTGAATGCAGTCTTCGCTGATTGACAAGCCTCGGCTTTGGCGACTGGCTCGTGGGCACACAGAGGGGGCTCACATGTGCCACGTGGCTCCCGTGCCGTGGGCTCACTGCCCTGGTGGAGCGGGTGGCCAACTTGCACTTACTGAGCATCTTACTGTTCTTCGACCTCACAGTTTTTGTTCGGAATAGTGTGGGAAGAAAGACGTTTTCTTTTCCTCATATGATCAATATCCTTCTGGCTCAAACTTAGTTTTAGGATCTGTTGGTTTATAATTAAACTTATCCTGTTTTCTCAGCTACAAATAAACCATTGATTCTTTCCTACCTGTTATTTGCCCCTTTAGTTTTTGGGATTTATACTGTTTCGTTTGTAAAGTAAAATAGGTAACATCTATATGGTGATCATACAAAGGGTATTGGCCTCTATCCTGTAGGTTTTGCCATTTTTAAAAATCTTTTTTTAGAGTCGGCCAGATAGCTCAGAGGATTAAAGCACCTGCTTAGGCAGACACAGGGACTGGGGTTTGATCCCTGGGCTGCCGTGACGGCCCCGCCCCCACGGCCCCTTGAGATGGTGACTGGGACTGGGCGTGGTCGTGAGCCTGTAATCCCAGAGCTTGGGAGGCTGAAAACAGGAAGATCACTATGAGTCCGATCTGTGTAGTGAGACCCTGTAGACCCTGTACCAAATACAAAAAAAAAAAAAAAAAAAAAAAAAAAAAAAAAAAAATCTTTTCTTTTTATCCCTGGAGATTAAAGCTGGCACTTCATAAATGTAAGACAATTGTTCCGATGCTAAATGACAGCCCTGGCCTCAGTTTGTTGAAATATTTATGTATCACCTTGCTGTGCTTTCCCCCACTGCTATGAGTGCAGAGCTTTGCTGCGGGCTGTCCTGCATGTCCGTCTGTGTTTCTTGGGCAGGATCTTCCCACCGTGAGATCACCCACATGTGGAAGGCACGAGCTGCTCGCGTGGCGCTGTCCTTTGTCCCAGTGCTTTGGCCGGGTGACTCGCTAGTGCGCTGCCTGCTTTGAATTAGTTTAGTGGTGAAATAAATGTTAATGCTCATCAGGGCTGTCCTCGCTCACGGTTCTCAGTGTTTTCCTCCTTCTCACTAAGTAACTTGAAGGACGTGCTTTATAATTACTTTAACTTTCCTCATGGAGGTTATGGAATTTTATGGGTATTATGCCATACGTGCATTATTGTAACTTATGACTCATATTATTAGATCAATACCATAAATTATAAGTCTTTATAACATAGTCTACATTAAAATAATATTTAAGCTATAATTTGAATTATAGTTAGAAATTAAAATGTTATTTATAGCATTCTATTTTATACTATATTATGTACTTTTATTAAAATATAACATTTTACATATGAATTTATTACACATTTTCATACTTATACTAATACTGTATTTTATATGTATAATATAGTATGATGTTATTTTATATTGCACTAATTTTCATAGTATATTTTCCTACTTTTAAAATATGTACAGTTTTCCTTTTCTTCTCTTCTATAGATTTAAGGTTTCACTTATGGCTGTTACTCCTTCCGTGATAAGATTAGTCACCTTTTTGTTAAAATCATTGTTTTTTACTTTGTACTTTTGTCTGTGCTGAGTGGTTCTCGCCTACACGTTTCGTTCCTAGCCTTCCTGGTACATGGAAATGTTCGCAGGGTTTAATTGTGTAATTGGCCACTGACTTACTTTTCTCTTTGCTGGGACAAAATACCCAACACTCAGAGTTCCAGGAGGGAAGGTTTATTTGGCTCACAGTTTGCAGAGGGTTTGGTGGGTAATCCGTTGGCTCCAAGGCAGTGCGGCATGGCAGACGGAAGGGCAAGCCAGCAAGGCGCCCCACAGTGTCTTTCTGCCCTTTTTATACTCTAGCCAGCCTGCTGGGTTTAGGGCGGCGCCCAGCCCATCAGAGGACCACACACCTTAACCCCAGGGGGGTACACCCTGCATCCAGCCACCTCTGAAAGAGTCCCACCTATGACAGCACGAGGCTTTGGGAGGACACCTAGAGATATCCAAATGAATTTTATGAACTTTGGAAGCATTTTATTTGGCTTTCGTCCAGTTTTTATATTAAAAAATTCCCAGTTTGCCTGATGCTTTTTTTGCCTGCTTTTAATTTTTCCAGTTTGCGTCCAGGCTCCTGCCCTCCGGCTGTGGTTCACTTCCTGCTTTCTTTTCTCCCCTCCCTCCCAGCATGGAAGAGTGTGAGGCCCTTTGCACCAGACTGGCCATCATCGTGGACGGCCGTTTCCAGTGTCTCGGCTCCCCTCAGCACATTAAAGACCGGTATGTTGAGCTTCCTTTTGTGTAAGTTTCCTCCCAAACCACAGCATGATGCAGTACTATCGCTAGAGCTGCTCTGGGGACAGTTCAAGCCAGTCGGTTACCTCCTGATGTCCAACAGGAGGAGAAGGCCCAGAGACGCTGAGGAGGATGCTCAAAAACTGTCACTAGTGAGTCACCTGCCCAGAGGTTTCCAGAAATTTTCCCTAAACCGTGTTGCTCTGTTTCCCCTGGGCCTCGTTGTGGTAACGCTGGTGAGGATGAGAATCTGAAGGCGGGGTCCAGACACACGCAGGAACAGCAGTGCCCTTCCTGCCTTCCAAGGGCCTTCTGCACAGGGAGCCCCGCTACAGCCCTCCAGCGCGCGCCAGACGTCCTGCCACACGCAGCGCCGTACTTAGAGGCCTCTGTCTGTGGAGGAGTGTAAGAGAGACTGCGATTCTATCTTTCACCTGGGCTAGTGAAAGAATAAAGGTTTTGCTTTCCTGTGCTCATGAACTGTTTTTCTTTCTCCCAGAATAATGATCTCTTTGTGCCTTTTTCCATTTACTTTTTGGAAGCTTAATGATTTTGTTATCAATTTCTCTGAACGTTTTTATGTCCTGTTGTAACTATTTTAGAGTTGCCTGAATGATTTTCTAATTTCCTTTAATTTGGTGTTGGACGATACTTTTTATAGAGAGTAATTTAGTCATTATGTTGATAAATCTTTTTCTTTTCAATGAATTCAGAGCTATAAAGGTTAAAATTCTCCAGGAGAGAGATCTCATAAATAAATATATAGAGTCTGCCAAAAGATCTCTACCTGCTTCAGGAAAAGAAAAATAGTACCTAGTGTGAAGCTGGTGGCATCACTGTGGACAGCTCTTCAAATCACAGAGACCCAAGATAACTTGTTATCTCATGATATCTTTATAAATTCAGTATTAAAATGTTTATACGAGGTTTTCTTTTCCTGAAAATAATCAGTTCTTGGCTTGAAATGATAATTGGGAATAAATATTACATTTCTAGGGGCTAAGGGTTAGGCAAAATAGTGTTGGGACAGCAAGCTTCATTGTTGTTTTCTCCTGTTTAAAAATCCTGAAATAAACGTATGAGGACGTGCATCCACAATAGTGAGGTAAGAAATACAGGGTGGTTCCTCAGGGGACATGTATAGGGTCCTGCACTCACAAGGTTCAGCTACCTATGAAAACCTGTTCTCAGTACACACTCTGCTTGTCTTTAATAAGTGTTGTCAAAAGAAAAATAATGTCTCACTCTCTAACCTTTATGAATGTGCTCATAAAACTTTATAGCCCACTCCTGATTGTGCAAGATTTATGCTAGAAGTTAGTGACTGGCTTTCACTGGGTTGGCCACTGTGGGCCGCAAGAGCCAGCAGGACAAAGTGGCTGGGCAGAGTGACCCTCCGGTGGGTGTGGTCTGTGGGCTGCACAGTGTGTCCACTTTCAATTTTGCCAGATTTGGTCACCCTGCCCAGCAACTTGGGCTTATGGTTCATTTGTTTCCTGGCCATAAGGACATCTAGGAAATGTAGACCTTAAATGGGGCAGTTAGCCACTAAAATAAAATCAGCTTTCTGTTTGGAAAATGGATTTTGCGTGGGTTTCCTGCAGTGGGGCTCATTCTCTAGATTGGGTCATCAAGTCAAGGATGCTGTTAGGATGAACAGAGCCTCCAAAGCTTTGAGGAGAGTCATATGATGTGGAATAGTCCTGTGTGTACGAGAGCTTCATAAGTGCACGTGTGCACATGTGTGTGTGTGTGTGTGTGTGTGTGTGTGTGTGTAGACAAATGATCTAAGGAGGGTGGAGGTACAGAGCTGGCTATCTGATAGCCAATCTCTTCTTTTTTTAAATTTTTTTTTATTTGTGCATTTTTAAAAAAGTTTTACTGAGAAAGAAATAGCAGTGAGACAGTTGCAAAACAGGTTAGCAGGACAGTTACAGTAATTAATACAGTGCATATTGTTGTCTTCATAGTAGTTATTCATAGTACAAGATACAGATGTGATTTCTTGTCTATAAACACTAGTAGTACAACTCTTCTCATTTATGTATTTGGTACAGGGTCTCACTACGCAGCTCAGACTCATAGTGATCTTCCTGCTTTCAGCCTCCCCAGCGCTGGGATCACAGGCGTGTGCCACCATGTCCAGACTCAGCCACTGGCTCAGTGTGCACTGGGGACAGGGCCAGCACAACATGTGGGATCAGGGATTGAGCGCTGTTCCCTGTGCTTGCCGCGCCAGTCTCTCCTGATGTCCCAGTTTTGTCCAGGCAATTAATTAGCCAGGCATTCCCTACTCCTTGGCTTTTCAGACCTTGGGCTTGCTCAGAAAGTCTGGTAGCTCCTGGGACACTCATAGCCCGGCGTCAGCTGTATACTGTACCACGTATTTCTCTGCCCTTTCAAGAGACTTATGCAGGAGGTTGAAGCAGGAGGCCTGGGCCGAACGCTCTGAGCACGGGAAGATGGGGTGGGTTCCAACACACAGAGCTTCTGGTTTGAAGTGTGCTTGGTGGTTTTTGGATTTGGAAAAGACTTTTAAAAAAGCTGTTTATTGACAAACACAACAAAGCTTTAAGTAGTCTAAGGGAAATCTTAAGGTTAGTAGTATTTTGATTTCTTTGACCTGTCAAACATGAACCTTTGGGAGGATGAGCACAGCGGGAATGCATTTCAAAGGATGTCAGCCTAGAGATGTTACTTAGCTGTTTAACTTAAAGTATCAAGACTCATCTGCAAGTTTTTTTGCTGGCTTTTTTTCTGAAAAATGAAAGACTAACGATGTTTGAATTCTCAAGTTACGACAGTCTGGATAGCTACAAATTAATATGTCACCTTATGTGACACCATCTGCTCCCTCGTGACAACTTTAATTTACTACTTCTACAACACAGTGCCATAAACACAGGGGCTGAGATCAAGATGATATCATCAATAATAAACTGGCCCATTTAAGAATGAAACCAATAACTCAATAGGTTTATGTCATTTTCCCAGATGGGGTGGAGGGCATTTGTACACGGGCCCATGGCATCGAGTTGGGAGTGATCTGCTGCTCGGTCCTATTTTTCAGCATTGTACTTTGCTTTAAAGCATCCTATAATGCCCCTGCTGCCACTCACCCTTGAGTTAATTCTGTGCATTAGAAATAGTTTTATTAAGAGAGAGAGCATGCTGTTGACAGAGCTCTGAATCCTCAGGATATCTCCACCCCAGCTGATGTGTATAATTTGTCATCTCGTTTGTTTTCCCAACATCATGTTGCAGGAACAAAATTAATGCTGTTCTAACATAATTACCTGGGAAGAGATTTAGACTCTCATGCCCTGCTCATGCTGGGGATGGCGGTCGGGAGCCTCTGGTCTTGGAAATTCAGATCATGAGCAGTGTCCCCCAGAGCTGTCACTTAACCAAAGGGGAACGCTGCTTTCATTTCTTAGTATTGTATTTTCTCTTGAAAATAAGCAGATTGCTTCTCACCCACGGCGAGCTCAGGGAAGAGATGTGCCGGAGACTGCTTCCTTTTTAGATGGATGGGCTTTGTCCCTGGGGACTCAGTCACATCAACATTCCAGGGCGCACGATCACATTTGTTCACTGCTGTGGTGAGAGGTGATGAAGACGCGATTCCTCATCTCAGTAAAATCGTGGTGGAGCATGAGACAGGCACACGCCAGTGCACACACGTAGTGTGGTCATTGTCCTACGTGGACGTCACACGGCATGGGGTACTTTTTCACATCAGCAAATGCCACTGAATGTTCATGGGATGCCAGGGATTGAATGAGGAAGATGGGCTGAGTCCTGTAAGAACTGAGCTAGACACACAAATCAGAAATTACAGCAGAAAGACTGGAAGTGCCAGGAGAAAATGTTAATGCACACGAGATAGGAAATTAAAGAAGGAAGTGTGCATACCCAGGGCCTTAGGGTAAGGAGTGGCCCAGTGGCTTCCTGGACAAGGGAGAATTTAAACCAAGAATGCACATTAGCTGTGAATGCATTAGAAAGAGAGGTGTGGCAGAAATAATCAAGTTCTGCTTAAGAACAGCTTGACTGTGGTGGGGTAGAAGCTGAATATTGGGACCTTCACCGTAATTTTTGGATTAATTTTCAAAATTGGAGGTTATAGTTCTATGGTAAAGAAAAGGAGGAACAAGGAGAGCCCAGTGAGTGGACGCTTTACCAGATGATTTTGTTCTGTAGCTGGAAGTTAAATAAGACAAAACTAAATAGAGAAAACAGTGTGTGTGTGTGTAGGGTGTGCTGGCCAAAGAATACAACTTTGCAACTGGCTAATCTGGGACTTACGAAGACAAAGAACCTGGGAGCTTGGAGCATGGAAAGACAGTGGTCATTGGAGAAATGGAGATGTTGTTGGGGCAGTGAGCATGAGGAGGGCTGTGAGCCTTGGGAGGAACTGGAGAAATGCTGGGAGGAAGTAGAGGATGCTGGGAGAAACTGGGGGCTGCTGGGAGGAACTAGAGTATTCTGGGAGGAACTGGGGGCTGCTGGGATGGAGTAGAGGATACTGGGAGAAACTGGGGGCTGCTGGGAGGAACTCGAGTATTCTGGGAGGAACTGGGGGCTGCTGGGATGAAGTAGAGGATGCTGGGAGGAACTAGGGGCTGCTGGGAGGAATTAGAGGATGCTGAGAGGAACTGGGGAGCTGCTGGGATAGTTCATGATGAAGAAGAGCTTGTTGTAGTTGTGCACTGAGTGTTGTCCATTGTGGCAAGAGACAGAGAGGAAATCCAAAGATGGGATAGCTGCTGCCTTCAAAAGCCAAATTCATTACCTCTTAGCGCCAGTGCCTAAAAGCTCTGCAGTGGGGTGAACTGAGCTTAGCTTTGTTCTGTTGCATTTGTGACAAGCCCCACTTAGCACGGGATGTTCTGCAGTGCGGCAGTTCCATGCTATGATGGCTAGCACTCTGGATTCTCAGTCCAGAACGTGCCCCAATTGTTTCTATATAGCATCTCCTTCCA